ACCATAACTTACAAGGGGAAGAATATTAGAATGATTGCATATCTCTCTACAGAAACATTTCAAGCTAGAAGAGGATGGTCATCCACCTTCAACCTCCTAAAACAAAACAATTTTCAAACGAGGATCCTATATCCAGCTAAACTGAGTTTCATTTGTGATGGAGAAATTAAATACTTTAATGATATTCACATGCTGAAGAAATTTGCAATAACTAAACCAGCTCTCCAGGATATTCTCAGACCCATCCTCCACAGTGACCACCACAATACTTTACCACCCAAGTAAACTCATCGAGAAAATTTTGATCCAAACCTAATTTCCACAGTGGCAAAAGGATTAAAAATGTCCACTGGAATTTTGAAAAATTCGACACTCAAAATAATACCAGGTTTATCACTACTCTCAATCAATGTGAATAGCTTAAATTGCCCTATAAAGACACACAGGGTGACTGACTGGATACAAAAACTCAGGCCAGATATCTGCTACATACAAAAATCTCATCTTACCTTAAAAGATAAATATAGACTTAGGGTGAAGGGATGCTCATCTATAATTTAGGCAAATTGCAATCAGAAAAAAAGCAGGTGTTGCAATTTTATTTGCAGGTACAATAGGCTTTAAACCAACAAAAGTAAGGAAAGGTAAGGATGGTCACTTCATATTTGTTAAGGGAAATACTCAACATGATGAGATTTCAATTATTAATATTTATGCACCCAACCAGAATGCTTCTCAATTTATAAGAGAGACTCTAACTGAAATAAGCAACTTGATTACCTCCAGCACTATAGTAGCCAGAGATTTTAACACCCCTTTGGCTATGTTGGATAAATCCTCCAATAAGAAACTAAACAAAGAAATTTTAGACTTAAACCATTCAACAATTAGATTTAACAGACATCTACAAAACATTTCATCTTAACAAAACTGAATACACATTCTTCTCATCAGTGCATGGAACATTCTCCAAAATTGATCACATCTTAGGTCACAAGGCTAACCTCAGCAAATTTTAAGAAATAGAAATTATTCCTTATATCTTCTCAGACCATCATGGAATAAAAGTTGAACCTAGTAACAACAGGAATCTGCAGACTCATACAAAGACATGGAAACTAAATAATTTTACGCTAAATGATACCTGGGTCATACATGAGATTAAGAAAGAAATTACTAAATTTTTGGAGCAAAACAATAAAGAAGACATAAACTACCAGAACCTCTGGGATACTACAAAGGCAGTCCTAAGAGGGAAATTTCTAGCATTGTAAGCCTTCCTCAAGAGAATGGAAAGAGAAGAAATCAACAACTTAATGGGACAGCTCAAGCAACTGGGAAAGGAAAAACATTCCAATCCCAAACCCAGCAGAAGAAAAGAAATAACCAAAATTCGAGCAGAATTAAATGAAATTGAAAATTAAAAATTATGCAACAGATCAATGAATCAAAAAGTTGGTTTTTTAAAATGGTCAATAAAACAGGTAGACCACTGGCTAACCTAACCAGAAATAAAAGAGTAAAATCTCTAATTTCATCAATCAGAAATGATAGAGATGAGATAACCACAGACTTTGCAGAAATTCAAAAAATCCTTAATGAATGTTACAAAAAACTCTATTCTCAGAAATATGAAAATCTGAAGGAAATTGACCAATACTTGGAATCATTCCATCTTCTTAGACTTAGCCAGGAAGAAGTGAAAATGTTGAATAGGCCTATATCAAGTTCTGAAATAGCATCAACTATACAAAATCTTCCCAAAAAGAAAAGCCCAGGACCAGATGGCTTCACATCAGAATTTTACCAAACCTTTAAAGAGGAAATTGTGCCCATATTACTTAATCTTTTCCAAATATAGAAAAAGAGGGAATACTTCCCAACACATTCTATGAAGCTAATATCACCCTCATCCCCAAACCAGGAAAAGACCAAACAAGAAATGAAAATTACAGACCAATATCTCTAATGAATATTGATGCAAAAATATTCAATAAGATCCTAGCAAACAGAATCCAGCAACACACCAAATTATACACCATGACCAAGTGGGTTTTATCCCAAACTCTCAAGGCTGGTTCAAAATACATATATCTATAAATATAATACATCACATAAACAAATTAAAAACAAAGGCCATATGATCCTCTCAATTGATGCAGAAAAATCTTTTGATAATATCCAGCATCATTTTATGATCAGAACACTTAAGAAAATAGGTATAGAAGGGACATTTCTTAAATTGATAGAGGCCATCTATGGCAAACCTACAGCAAATACTATATTGAATGGAATAAAATTGAAAACATTTCCACTCAGATCAGGAACCAGGCAAGGTTGCTTACTATCTCCACTGCTATTTAACATTGCAATGGAAGTCTTAGCCGTTACAATTAGGCAAGAGAAGGCAATCAAGGGTATCCATATAGGCTCAGAGGAGATCAAACTTTCACTTTTTGAAGATGATATGATTGTACACCTGGAGAACCCCAGGGACTCAACTACAAAACTCTTAGAAGTGATCAAGGAATACAGCAGCATCTCAGGCTACAAAATCAATACTCACAAATCAATAGCATTAATATATACCAACAATAGTCAAGCTGAAAAAAACAGTTATGGACTCTATTCCCTTTACAGTAGTGCCAGAGAAAATGAAATATCTGGGAGTGTACCTAACAAAGGATGTGAAAGATCTCTATAAAGATAACTATGAAACTTTGAGAAAAGAAACAGCCAAAGATGTCCACAAATGGAAAAACATGCCATACTCATGGCTGGGAAGAATCAACATGGTTAAAATGTCCATACTACCCAAAGCAATCTATAGATTTAATGCAATCTCCATTAAAGCACCCATGTCATACTTTCTGATCTGGAAAAACTAGTACTTCATTTTATATGGAAACAGAAAAAAACCTCGAATAGCCAAGACATTACTCAGAAATAAAAACATAGCAGGTGGAATCATGCTACCAGACTTCAGGCTATACTATAAATCTATAGTGATCAAAACAGCATGGTTTTGGCACGAAAATAGAGGTAGATGTATGGAACAGAATTCAGAACCAAGAGATGAATCCAGACACTTATTGTCACTTGATCTTCAATAAGCCTATCAAAAACTTAAATTGGAGGAAATACTCCCTATTTAACAAATGGTGTTTGGTCAATTGGCTGGCGACTTGTAGAAGACCGAAACTGGACCCACATCTTTCACCTCTAACAAAAATTGACTCTCACTAGATAAAAGACTTAAACCTAAGGCATGAAACCACAAAGGTTCTTGGACAGAGTACAGGAGAAACACTTGAAGATATTGCCCTGGGAGAATACTTTATGAGGAGGACCCCCAGGGCAATTGAAGCAATACCAAAAATACATTACTGGGATCTGATCAAACTAAAAAGCTGCTGCACTGCCAAGAACACAGTAAGTAAAGCAAGTAGACTGCCCTCAGAATGGGAGAGGATATTTGCAGTTTATGTTTCTGACAAAGGTCTGATAACCAGAATCCACAGAGAACTCTAATTTTTTCATAAGAAAAGAACAAGTGATCCCATTTCATTATGGGCAAGAGACCTGAACAGAAGCTTCTCTGAAGAAGACAAGCACATGGTATACAGACACATGAGAAAATACTCATCATCTTTAATCATCAGAGAAATGCAAATCAAAACCACTTAGAGATACCAACTAACTCCAGTAAGACTTGCCCACATAACAAAATCCCCAAACTACACATGTTGGTGTGGATGTGGAGAAAAGGAAACATTTCTCCACTGCTGGTGGGAATGCAAACTAATAGGTTCCTTTTGGAAAGAAGTTTGGAGAACACTCAGAGATCTAAATATTGACCTGCCGTTGGATCCTGCAATTCCTTTACTAGCAGTATATCCAAAAGACTAAATATCACTTTGCAAAAAAGATATTTGCACCAGATTATTCACTGCAGCTCAATTCTTAATAGCCAAGTCATGGAAGAAGCCCAAGTGCCCATCGACCCATGAATGGATTAATAAATTGTGGTATATGTGTACCATGGAATACTTTGCAGCATTAAAAAAAGATGGAGCCTTTACCTCTTTTATGTTTACATGGAGGGACCTAGAACATATTCTCCTGAGTAAAGTATCTCAAAAATGGAGGGAAATGTATCCAATGTACTCAGTACTTCTATGAAACCTACTTATATTTACTCACACTTTGTTATGAAAGATAGAACACAACTATAGCCCAGGATAAAGGAGAGAAATGGAGTGGGAAGGGAAGGGAAGAGGGAGGATTGATAGAGGGAGGGTAAAAGGTAGCACCAGACCTGTGAAGCATATTGCAAGGGTACAAGTCAAATCTGTCAAGTGTAGAACATAAATGTCTTAAAACAATAATCAAGTAAATGAGGTGAAAGCTATGTTGATTGGTTTGCTGTAACCACATCAGATTGTATTAAAAAAATCAACACATTGTACCCCACATATGCATAAATGTATTCATGATCTATGTGTATTTGACTTAATTTAAGAAAAAAAATTTTGCATCACAAATGCCTGCTTATGTCACCCTAGTTCTAGCCCTGTGATTGGTCAGGCTTTCAAAGCCCCTCCCTATATAACCGGAAACGGAAACACTAGTTCCTTTGGTAACGGCCACTCGGCTACCTTGTTGGTTGGTTCAGAGGCCAACGGTACTACAGGCCGCAGACCTGACTTTCTCCTGAGTGCCGCTACCTTGCCAGTTGGTTCAGAGGTGAAGGCGACTACAGGCTGCAGATCTGACTTTCTTCCAGCTGCCGCTACCTTGACAGTTGGTTCAGAGGCGAAGGCGACTACAGGCCGCAGACTTGACTTTCTCCCAACCGTATGTACGCGAAAGACTGACACCAACACTAATGCTATCCCAGAATGCCCTAGGACACAGAGTGGAAGATGGGGGACTCTAAACCAAGAAATTTTAGGACCAGCTGGGATGACGGAGGTGGCGGAGGTGGCAGAGGTGGCAGAGGCGGCAGAGGCAGCGGCAGGAGTGGCCCCTCTGACCAAATGGGGCCTAGGGCCCCAGGCTCACGTGAACCACCACTCTGCTTTAGATTGAGTAACAGCATGATTGGTGCGGTAATTGGTCGTAGTGGATCAAGAATAAATAATGTGCAACGTTCGACAAACACTAAAATACAAATTATAGAGGGAGATTCCGAAGCAGAGGTAAAAATTTATGGCAGCAAGGACATGAAAGAAAAGGCAAAAGCAGCTATAGAAACTTTGATTAAAAAACAAGAAAGCTATCAGTCAAAATATGATGTTGATAATGTAGCATCCCAACCCCCTGTTGGAAGAGACTTAACCAGAAATGAGAATGTTAGAGTACAGAAGCCAATGATAGATTGGGATCGAGTCAAGGCGAAAGTTGCAGAATGGGAAAAAGCAAAATGGGCAGATTTACCACCAATTAAGAAAAACTTTTATATAGAATCGAAAGCAACAACATCTATGTCGGAAATGCAGGTAGATAATTGGAGAAAGGAACATTTTAACATCACGTGTCAGGACTTGAAAGATGGTGAAAAGCGTCGCATCCCGAATCCTACGTGTAGATTCGAAGATGCTTTCCGACACTACTCTGGGCTCCTGGAAAGCATAACATCTTCAGGTTTCCAGAGCCCAACCCCAATTCAGTGTCAGGCGTGGCCCATTATTCTACAAGGATTAGATCTTATAGGAATCGCTCAAACGGGAACAGGCAAAACATTAGCCTATTTAATGCCTGGGTTTATACATCTTGACTCTCAACCAATAGCAAGAGAACAAAGGAATGGACCTGGGATGCTGGTTCTTACACCAACTAGAGAATTAGCTCTTCAGGTGGAAGCTGAATGTTCTAAGTATTTGTACAAAGATCTGAAAAGTGTTTGCATATATGGTGGTAAAGACAGAGACAAACAAATACAAGATGTTAAGAAAGGTGTAGATATCATTATTGCAACTCCTGGTAGACTACACGATCTACAAATGAACAAGATGATCAACCTAAGAAGCATAACCTACTTAGTGTTGGATGAAGCAGATAAAATGCTGGATCTGGGATTTGAACCCCAGATAATGAAGATTTTATTAGATGTGCGCCCAGACCGGCAAACTGTAATGTTAAGTGCAACTTGGCCAGATACCATTCGTCGCCTTGCAAAGTCTTATTTGAAAGATCCCATGATGGTTTATGTTGGTACTCTTGATCTGGTTGCTGTACATACAGTGACGCAAAATATAATTATTACCACTGAAAGAAAAAAACGAGCACTTATCCAAGAATTCCTAGACAATATGTCACCCAACGACAAAGTCCTTGTGTTTGTCAACCGAAAACTTGTTGCTGATGATTTATCAAGTGACTTTGGTATCCTAGGTATTCCTGTGCAGTCACTGCATGGTGACAGAGAACAATGTGATAGAGAACAAGCATTAGAAGACTTTAAAAGTGGAAGAGTGAAGATATTGATAGCAACTGATTTAGCATCTCGAGGTCTCGACGTTAATGATATCACACACATATACAATTATGATTTTCCACGAAATGTTGAAGAATATGTACACAGAGTAGGACGTACTGGAAGAGCAGGAAAGACTGGCATATCAATTACCCTTATCACTCCAGAAAATTCGAAGATTGCCAGTGAATTGATTGAAATTCTGAAAAAAACAAATCAGAGCATCCCAGAAGATCTTGTAAAAATGGCTGAACAATACAAGTCACATCAACAAAAAACGGAGGCAGAAAGACCAAGAAAATGTGGAAGAAAATCCAAGAAGTTTTAATAACGTTTATGTTGAAACATTACACCAGGCTACTAGAATATTCAAGACATGTTAAAGAAATTCAGTATTCAAGATACCTAAGAACGTTTTAGAAGTACATTAGCAGTTTGAAGACACAACAAAATCTTCAAGAAAACTACTAAGTTTTCAATGTGTGTCTATGTTTCTTAATAATAAAAAAAAAAGTTCCAAAATGAGAGAGAGATTTTTTGAAAAAAACTTAAATGATATGTTTTGTGTAAATTCTAATTTCTTTTATAGTCTTCCGTGTACATCTGTCTTTCCTAAAACACCTGGTAGAAGAAAACAGTCATGCTTTTCTTGCTTTAAAATACATAGAAGTTGTACTAAATTGAAGCATAGCTTCAAGCTTATCTCAATCAAAAAATTCTTTTCCCCCTAATGGTTGGTGCCACAATAATTCCTAAAATTATCTCCACTATCATTCTTTAATTTTGTATAGTTCATTAGAAAATAAATTCCAGAGAGGGAGAGAGAAGGAAGGAAGGGGGTGGGGGAAAGGAAGAGCAGAGAGAGGGAAGGAGGGAAGGGGGTGGGGTCTCAGTGTGTGACACACCTTGCACCCTCAGTGAATCCCCAAGAATAAAGTTTTCAGAGTTCTAATATGAAGCCAGTAGATGGATCGAATACACACCCTCCTAAGAGAAAAACTCAAATCAATTCAAGGTGGGGGGCAGGAGAACAAGGGAACAGGGACAGGGGAAGAGGGAGGAGGTTGGGGGGGTTAGGTGTATGGCACACCTCTTGGGGGTGGGACACAATTATAAAAGGGACATTACCTAACAAATGCAAACAGTGTAACCCAAATCTTTGTACCATCAGTGAACCCAAAACAATAAAAAAAGCCCATTCAGAAGGTAATCTTACTCCCATTTTGCAGAGGATAAAGTAAGGTCAAAGGAGTTAATTTGTAGGTCACTAAATCTGGTTAAAGAGACCTTAAGTGATATTTTGCTCCAGAAGTACCTTATTCCAATATTTACATTACTTTTATTTCAACACAGTTACATAGAAGACAATATTTTTGTCTTGAGGCTGCCTACAAGTTCAGATTTAGTGATATAGGAAAGTATGTGCAAATTTAATATAAAGGCAATCTATAGCAGAACCTCCAATGGACATTCAAATGGCCTGTTCCTGTCCACTCAAAGGTGAGATGATGAATATTTATTAAGTTAAAGTACATGTTATTTACCAGAATTCCTCATAGAGGCATATTTGTTAGAAAAAAAAAGTAATGGTTAAACCACATGAGATCGCGAGGTTCCACAATAACATTTAACTAACAATAACAAAAATTATCATTTAATGTCTATGAGTGAGAAAAGAAGTGTACATTTCTTCCACAAGAAAAGGCTGAAAATGGCTCAGTACCCCTAGCTCAGTAAGTAGGGCACTGGCCACATACACCGAAGGCGGCGCGTTCAAGTCTGGCCCAGGCCTGCTAAATGACGATGACAACTCCAACCAAAAAATAGGCAGGCATTGTGGTGGGCGCCTGTAGTCCCAGCTACTTGGGAAGTTGAGGCAAGAGAATCACTTAAGCCCAAGTGAGTATGAGGTTGCTGTGAGCTGTGATGCCATGGCACTCTACTGAGGGTGACATAGTGAGAGAGAGAGAGAGAGAGAAGAGAGAAGAGAGAGAGAGAAAAGAAAAGCAAGCAAAGCGAGGGAAAAAAAGAAAAGAAAAGGCCGAAAAGAAGAGCCAGTGTATGGAGAAAGGTAAGTAAAAATAGAACAATGGTTCTCAACCATGGGTGATTTCTCTCCATAGAAGACCTTTGACAAGATCTGGATACAGTACTGGTTGTTATAATTTTGGGTGGGGGGTGAGGTATTACTGGCATCTAGTGGGTAAGAGGCTGCCAAACACCCTGTAGCCTATGAAACAGTTCTACACAACAAAAAATTATCTGGCCCAAGACAACAGTGGTGAAATTGATAATCCCCAAGAGATCCTGTGTTAAACAGATTGACCAAAATCAATTGCATAGTAACCAACTGGAGTTGATTTTTGCCCCTAAGGGACATTTGGCAATGTCTGCAGACAGTTTTAGTTGTCTAAGACAACTAAAAGAAAAGCAAGCAAAGTTTTAGTTGTCCCTACCAGGAGATAGGATTGCTACTGGCATCTAGTGGATAGACGTCAGGGCTAAACATCTCATAATACACAGGACAGCACCCTACAAACGGGATTTTTTTTCAGCCCAAAATGTGTAGTGTTGAGGTCAAGAAACTATGGTTTACATTGATTGACCAATAAGGTTTTTGTGTGAGTAGCTTGTTCTTCAGTAATTCAAAGAAGAACTGAGTTCTACATACAAAATGGGATGACACAAAAGCAAGGCATACATTGACACAGTATCAAACTATGAGGATTCATCTGACCTCAGAGTTATTTCTATAAGATTCTTAGCATGAAGGATGGAGATGGAGAATGTTCTTCTGAGCAAAGTATCATGAGAATGGAGGAAAAAGTATCCAATGTACACACCCCTATTATGAAACTAATTTATACCTTTTATATGAAAGCTATAACCAAATAGCCTAAGAATATGGG